AAGAATGGTGCAGGACATGCAGTACATGTTGTGCTAAAAGGGGATCCAAGCATAAGTTGTCTTCTCCATGGGAAGGCCCATATGACATAGTGGATAGTCTCTCAGACGTGACTTTCCGAATAAAATTTGGTCGGTGAGATAAGCCAAAGGTGGGGCATGCCAACAGGCTTTGGAATTATCATGGTCCATAACATTTCAATTGGAACAAAAGGAACAATGGAACAAATGATGCCGCTGAAGACGTGTTACATGAAAAAGCCACTGTCGAAGAAGAAACTCTACCCGGTTTTGAAAAGGGAAACAGTAAAGCCCTTAATGATGTTACTACCACGGATGTGACTATTACCGATAATTGGACATTTCCTGATGGAGCAAATGAACCCTACGTGAAGCAGAAGCCAATGATCCCGAGACCAGTACAAAAGAAGAAATGTCCTGTAAAATTAAGAGACTTTGTTATATTTTAATTTTGTGCTTGTAAATTCTGTATATTTAATTAAGTGATTGTTAATTATCTATTGGTTTAATGTAAGTGGCTATTGTTCGGGACGAACAATACTAAGGAGTGGGCAGTGTACGACATCGTAAGTCACGTGATGCCGCTGGCGCATGCGTGACTGAGTTTCTCGAATTATTGGGGAAGTTCGAGTGTGATCGAGAAGCCCTCTTTGTTAGTATATAAGCCTGGCAGAGAAAGCCAGGAACAATGTGAATGAATGAAGAGGATAAAGCGAACAGTAGCTACGCTGAATTTCGGGTAATTTACGATTCTGTTTCGAGCTAGTGTATGTTTTGCACTCGTAGAGAGCAACGTTATCGAGATTGTGAATCGCTCTGATTTATAGCTTGTATTATAAAAATTGTTAAGTATAAAATATCGAGTAACGTACTAACTGTGGAATTACCGTGTACTAAAAGTTTGTGTCAAGGAAGAATAAACTGGTTTAACCAAGAGAGGACTTGTAAAGTTGAAATTTCTCGGAAAGTATTTCTACCGGAAATGAACAAAGAAGCAGATACGCAACAATACTAAACCAGACTAATACCAGCTTTCTGAATACAAAATATCGTGTTTAACATACTGCGCTTACTTAAAGTTGTGTAACGCACGATAATTGTAAGCCAGCTGACAACGTGTTGAGCGTAAGAAATAAATAGACTTACAGTTTACGCGATAGGGATCACTTTAAACAGAAAAGCCATTTGCTTGTTTTTGATCAAGCACAAAGCCACACGATGGGCCATACATGCTTTGTTCACCGCTAGTATCGAAACCTAATTTTTGCGTTATTGTCCACAGACTTATAAACGGAAGAATAAATTGTTTTATTGAATTAACAGCTATTATCTTGCACGTAAACACTTTGATATAAATCCTTTAAACACATAAAACCTTTAAACATTGTTTATTAATCCATTTGAACATAAGAGTAAACAACTTGTAACAACGCTATTTTCATCTGGATACATTCGCTGCAATTTTCAGAATATTATTCACTTTGTTGCGTCAGCGAGGTCACGTGACTAGTATCACGCCACTTCTTTTTCGAACCTTCGTGAATTGTCGGGATATTACTAGATTGGGGGTAGTTTGGTATATATAAGATGGTCACAACGTGACGGGACAATGTGTGTAGGTAATGAGTAATTGAACTGCAGTCAGAGAGTGTGTAATTGAACTGAGCACGTGAGACGTTCGTTGTTATAGCGCCACTGTTGAAATTAAGTGTATCGCAAAGTTATATTCAGAAAGAATAAACTAGTTTTATTTAAGAAAGGACTTGTGTCGCTAAAGTTTCGTCGGAACGAAGTTACGGAAAATTAAGTAACGACTGGAGGCGTAACAATATTTAAAACTGCTTCACCTTTATTTGGATGTTTCATTGTCACATACTGAGCATAAAGTAAGTTTTTTCTTGAATATCGTAAAATAAAACAGAGTTTAATTGATTCTCCAAAAGTGATTATCTCGGCCAACATTTTAAAACGGGTAGATGATAAGAAGCCGTCCTTCGTGATTTGCTTTTGCAGATTTTCTTATCACTTCAGTAGTTGTGGTTATGACTAAGTTGCATTAAGCGAAAACATTTAAAAACAGAATTAAGTTGTTGTGGAATTTTCTATCTATGAACTTTTTTCCAGTTCTATCTTAAAATCACCACACTTTTACTAGAACTTTGAGGTGAACGGTGGAATACTTGAGGGATCCTCTATCTCTTCTGTTATAATCCACTTATTTAATCAGTGGTTTAATTTTGGAACATTTGCTATTATATGGTGGCATAGCGGCATGTATGCGGGCTTACAATGCTAGAAATCGGGTTTTCATTCCTGTGGTGGGAAAATCACAGATAGCCGATTGAGTAGCTGTGTGGCTAACTTCATACAAGCCTCCTAATTTCTTCGATATTGCTGCGTCAGCGAGGTCACGTGACTAGTGTCACGCCACGTTTCTAGAACTATCTTGTTCCTTCGTGAATGCCCTAGCATTTACTAGACATATGTTTGTCTGGTATATATATATAAGACGCTCACAACGTGACAACAATGTGTGTTGGTAGTGAGTAATTGAACTGCAGTCAGAAGTATTGTTGAAGTTAACGTTCGTTGTTAAAACGTTTGTTATAGAGCGACTGTTGAAAATAAGTGTATCGGTAAAGTTATATTCAGAAAGAATAAACCAGTTTTATTAAGTAAGGACTTGTGTCGCTAAAGTTTCGTCGGAACGAAGATACGGAAAATCAATTAACAAGCGGAGACGTAACAATATTTATTGAAATTAATCGCATTGAGGTTTATGTTCTTTTGGTTATTAATGTTTGTACCTAGTCCTGGCCATACACGGGTTTACTTGTTTTTTTGTGAAACAGTTTGTATTCTAGTTATTAAAAACTTGTTGGTTTTTACTTCTGTTGTTATATTTGATAAATTGTTTTTGTTTGACCCTGATTGTAGTGACTTTTTTTTAGTCCATTACACTATATCCTCCACAGATATCGAACCCAAGTATGTATGATACAAATAGTACTTATAAAATGACATCAGATGGATACGAGTGATACGTAAGCTTCACCCTTGTTTTAACTTAGTTTTTAGGCCTATGAATAATACCACTGCACTAGTATTATCATAATTAGGGTTTGATTAAGGCCAGGGAAAAGTAAAATATTAAAACTTGATCGACTGAATTAAAAATAAAATAAATTAAAACGGGTAGCTGTTGATAAAGAAGTGAGTAAATTATTATAAGTAGGGTGTAAAAAGTTTGTAGTAATACTAATAGTATGAACTGTGTTAAAACTAAGATTTATTTTCTTAAAGTCTACAAAACTACAATTTTACACTTTACGGTACACAGAGTTAAGCCTAATATTATATGTTAAACTTTAATAAAACGAAAAGACTCGGGAAAATTAACACAGTAATACCTTATTACTAATAGTAACACCTAATAGTGCTAATAAATGTAGATTTGAAATAGATTTTAGATGATAAATTTTGGCAAGTTACCTTAAAAGTGTACTATATTACTATTAGTATTAGATGTAATTAAAAAATAATAATACGTTCTTTGACATACTATAAATACAATAACTAAAAAACTATTAGTACCAAGCTACATATCATCTCTGTTTTTTGGGCCACAACTTAATTGTTGTTGAAGTATTTTATCAGTCATGCAGAAGTTGAACATTTTCGCATCACCAGTCATTAAACAAATTCTGGGAATAATTTGATGTTCAGAATGCATCATTCATTTTGCTCCTTTTTTTCTTCAGACATTTTTGGGGGGGCAGGATAGAGCCCCGCCTCAGCACTTGAATGGCCTGTACCAAATCACTCAACAAATAAAATACTCCTACCCACAGGATAAATTCAGAAAGGAAACCCTTGTCATATTATTATTAAAATATCAATAAAAATAAATTCAATAATAAAATTTGTTTGATCTAGCAGAGTGGATGTGTGTAAGCTGTCTGGGAACACCCATGAATACTCAACATGATTTTATTATTTTGTACAAATATACCAAGAAATTGTTGAAAAAAATGGGTCAGTACTACACAGTACTATCTGCAGATTGTAAATCTTAAAACCATATTATCTTGTCTGTTTTAATATACAGCACAAAGAAATTTCAGTAACAATCACCTCTATTTCTGAAGAGAAAATTAAATATGTGATAATAACCTGTTCTTATAAGGCAAGTCTTTCATCTCTGAAATCATTTTAAGTAGACTTTTCTGAATTCTTTCCAATAAAATGTGGTCTTTTAACATGTTTTATCACTTTTTGCAGAAAATTGCTGCAAGGCTCGAGTGACTTATTCATCACTATGTCAAGATCCTTTTCTTGAGTTACACTACTGAATTCTCATCATTCTTTCAACCACTCTACAATCTAGTTAACTAGTCTTTCCTCTACTCACTACTAATTGTGATTTTCTTAACTAATATTCTATGCAGGGGCATTTTTAGCATTGGTGCAATGCACCAACAGGCATCTCGTACTGTGGGTCCCCTAGTAATATAACGAATAACAGACTATAAGGTGTTTCCTCAAAATTGTTTTTTTTTATATGTATATTTATATTTACATATATATATTGCATACAGGAAAACAGTGTACCAATATTATAAAAGTTTCAAATATTTTGTGATTTTATATATCCATATTAAAAAACTGATTTATAAACATGCACACATTTCAAACAAGCAGAACTAGACTGTCCCCATGCTTATATGTTTAAATTTCACAGTAGTCCAAATTTCAATTCAAGTTTGGAAATTTGTTAGTTCAAGACATTGGGCTAATGGAACTACAGCTCCATCTAAATCTTTTTTTCTCCAATAGGGTGGGTAATTTGTGGAACATTGTACCATGTAGAGGAATAGAGGCTGGCATTTTGCACAAATTTTGTATGATGAACATTTGAATAATAAGAGCAAGATTTGGTTATTGGATTTCCATTTCTTAAGGGTGGTTGGGAGTCGCAACATCCTTGATGGGCTAAAAGGCCTCTTGATATTCCATAGTTTATAATTAACAATTTTCCAGAGCATCAATTGGCTTTAATCTAAAAGTATCTTGGGGAATGCTCACTAGTTAATTCTGTTTAATATAGTGAATTGTAGTAATTTAACCTAATGTTATATAAAAGAAAGCCTGTAAATGGTTTCATTAATTACAAAGTTTCTCTGTGAACAAGAAAATGTTTGTTTTAGACTACATCTTTACTCCTGTTGTTTGTACCTTGGGGGTAGTTTTGTAATGGAAATGAAGTCATAATCACTGACCACTTACTGTTTATAATAAAAGATGTGTTAACCCTTTACCACATAATTAGATTTAACGATCACTTCCCAATCAATGTCATTTCTCCATCAAAAAACATAGTAAATTTGCAATATATTTTGCTATATTCTGCATTATGATATATGACACACATTACATATTTTTTTTGCTATTGAATTAATAACTTACTTGAATTATTGGAAAAATAGGGGTGAGATTCTGCCGGTACTTAGTACTGGAATTTATTTTTTAAGGCAGTACTTGTACTGGAATTTATTTTTTAAGGTGGTACTAGTACTGGAACTTCTTTTTTAAGGCGGTACTAGTACTGGAATTTATTTTTTAAGGCATTACTAGTACTGGAACTTCTTTTTAAGGTGGTACTTAGTACTGGAATTTATTTTTTAAGGTGGTACTAGTATTGGAATTTATTTTTTTAAGGCATTACTAGTCACCTTAAAAAATAAGTCCCAGTAATACTAGTACTGGGACTTATTTTTTAAGGTAGTACTAGTATTGGGACTTATTTGAGCTGTTTATGTTTACTTTTAGATTTTTTTCTTTTTGCTAAATAGGTCATCTTCAAATAGCTGAGTATCTCTAATTTTGTTTTGAGAATTTCACCTCTGGGTAAAAATACAGAGAATATATGACAATCAGCTGGAATCTTTGTATGTGAGTGGTGTGGGTGCCTCACGTCATCCGCCAGCTGGAGCCCCAGCTGAAGAATTACTTATACTTGTGTTTCCCACTCATGCTTCCATTAATTTTTATATTTCATAATTATATGTGAAATTATTGGTATTTAACTCTTGAAGTAATATGTTTTAATTGTACAATTTTTTGCCAAAAGGTGAGAACAATGAGGGAGTACAAGATAGTTGTTTTAGGAAGTGGAGGTGTTGGGAAAAGTGCCTTGGTAAGTGTTAAGACTCTTACATGTTAAACAAATTATTCTTATATTATAACTAGTGTTATGTATTACAATTTCAAATGGCCTGAAATTAAGTTAAATGATTCTTTAAATTTAGTAGTTAAATTGTACTTTGGATTTAGCAGTTAAGTAAAAGCCAATATATATAGTCGTTTTATGATATTTGCCAACAAGATTTTTACACACCGTTTCTTCTTTAACACAAATATGTTTTGATATGTAAACAACAATACAATTTACAGTAACAGTTATTACGAATAGTTATTACAAACAATGTTTTATATACAAAAGTTTCACAAACTTACAAGCAATATAAAGTCTTCTTTCTAGTCTGGAACTTCCTTGATATCTTGTTGAGGGTTCACAATGAGCAAGTTAATTACGAGTTGATGTAGGTCCAACTCGCTTAACAGGAAGCTAGCTAGCTCTGTCCTTCATTATTCACCAGCCACACACGCTGAGTTTACCACAATGAATTTATATAATGTTTTCTTAAAAATACTAATGTCCGATTGATAAGCATTGTAACAATCACAGTTGTAGCTTCCAAAATTTATACCACACTGACTATAGCAAACTAATAATAGATACCTTTTTTGGCACATCGAGTTGGTTATATTTATAGGCATGTAGAGGCTTTCTAGAAAATTCAGATCACATAACAAAACAAAGCTACATTTGAGTGTTTATGTACATACATATATTGTTGCTTCTTACTCTCGAGAATCTTCTACAACTTTGGAGAATAGGTGGGAGTTTTACAATACGTATTTAACAGTATAGACTATGTATGTTTCTAAATATAAATTTAATCTAAACATACATCAATATTAAAATAAATATATAATAATAAATTTGTTACACTAACTTAAATCATAGTGTTGAAAACATAAGGTGTCTCAATGGCTTTAATATTACAAATGATCTAACTTGGATATGTATCAAAAATAACTTCTTATTTTAAATAGAATCATACATCAATACATGATATACAGCGAGACATACATTTTAAACAAAATTTAATATGTTTTTACTTTTTGAGTAATTCCTGGTTTTCTTGCATTTTGAATTTGACTGAAAGGGAAATTAGCATTTATAAAACAATTCTTGATTAAAAACCTTATGGTAGAGTCAGTATTATAACGTTTAGGGATAACATGGAACATGTTGGTCCATCTCCACTGTTCCATCCTCTAAACTAAAGCTGTTAATAAATAAATGAAAAATAAATAAAAAGCTTAAAGCCAGTCCTTATCTTTCATATACATATCAAGCTTTCTCTTAAACTCACTTAAATTTACTGCCTCCACAACATCCTAAGGCATCCCATTCCAAAATCCAACCATCCTGTTAGAAAAATATAACTGTCTTAGCTGAAGGTGACTCCTACCCTGCCAAAATTTTTGTTTGTATCCCCTAGTCCTACTATTTTCATTGTTAAGTATGAAAAAAGATGATGCATCAACACTATCAATTCCCTTTACAATCTTAAATGCCTCAATCAATTTGAGCGATTTAAACCTCTCCTCATTTGACAACCCTTCCATCCCAAGCACTATTCTAGTAACCCTTCTCTGAACCTTTTCAAACAATTCAATGTCTTTCCTAAGGTAAGGAGCCCAAGAGTGAAGAAAATCACCTAAAATCCTATTTGCCCTACCACTACGAACAGCACACTGCTTGGATGGCTTTAGAGACCGATCAGCTATTATACCAAGATTCCTTTCTTTCATGACACTTTCCTTATTTTGCATTTATTACAATTAAAACTCATCTGCCATTTACTTGCCCAACTCACTAAATGATCTAAATCATTTTGTAAATCAGCAGCATCCTCTTCACAGCAAGCAACACCCAAGACCATAATATCATCTGCAAATATAAGTAATTTATTGACCATTCCTTCATCTATGTCATTGATGTAAATATAAAAGAGCAAAGGTCCTAAGACTGAGCCCTAAGGTACCACACTTGTGACATTAATCCAGTTTGACTGAACTCCATTTGTAACAACCCTCTGATTTCTTCCATTCAGCCACTCTTCTATCCAATTTGTTAACTTATTCCCCACACCTATAGAGATAATTTTTTTTAAAGTCTTTTATGTGGCACCTTGTCAAATACTTTCTGAAAATCTAGATACACCAAATCTACAATACCCTTACCCTCATCTATGTAAGCAGTAACCTTTTCAAAGAATGTTAAAAGATTTGTAAGGCAAGATTTTTCCTTAGTGAAATCATGTTGACTATCCAATAAAATTCTACTTTGTTAAATGACTTTGCAAAGCATTTTTTAACAGACTTTCCTGAACTTTTTCCACAACTGATGTAAGACTAATGGGTCTATAATTACTGGGACAATTTTTATCACCTCTGTTGAAAAGAGGAGTTACATTAGCTAACTTCCAATCCTCTGGTACCTGCTCATTATTCAAGGAAGGACAATAAATAGTAGCAAGTGGCTCACATATCTAATCTTTGTCCTCCTTCAAAACCCTTGGGGAAATATTATTTGACCTAGCAGCCTTATCATTCCTTAAACTTCCCAATTTTTTCTTAACCAGCTCAGGATTAATGCAATCATCTTGTTCAATTTTTTTTTCTATCTATCAACTGTTCAAGGTGTGGAATACTGCTTAAATCTTTGTTAGTAAAAACCAAAGAAAAAGCAAAGTTTAATAATCCAACCATCACATAATCATCAGATACGAGCCTTCCTTTATCATCCCTCAAGGATCCTACCCCTTCCTAACATTTTGTTTACCCTTAATGTATTTAAAGAAATCCTTACTGTTAATTTTAACATTTTCAGCCAAATTTTTTCTCATACATCCTTTTTGATGTCCTAATTTCTTGTTTCACCAACTTTCTTGATATTCTATAATCTTCTAAATCTCCTGTCATATCAGTCAATTTAGATTTCTTGAATTTATGATGCTTTTCTCTAATTTTATCTCTTATACTGTTTGTGAGCCACCCTGGTGTTTTACTTGTAGCTACCCTTTCCTTTCTATAAGGAACATGTCTGCCTTGAATATTTAAAATTTTTCCACATTTGATCAGTATATCCAAATAACTCGGTTGCCAAATTCACAAGAGATAATTCTTGTCACATCCCTTCAAAATTTGTAACCAAAATATCATTATTTCTTATCTCCATAGGCAGCAAAACATTGAACCTAATTGAGCAATGATATTTGCTTCAGTATGTTCCCCAATTTCCTCCCTATCATTTCCATATTAGAAGTTAACAATAAATCTAAAATAGCATTGTTTCTAGTTGGTTCCTTGACTAACTGGTGAAGAAAGCCATCTTGAACAGTTTCCAAAAACTTTTTTCCCCTCATGGTTTAACTCTAGCATTTCCCAATCTATATGCCTGAAATTAAAATCACCCATAATTATGACTTCATTAACAGCTGAAATCTTAATCTCATTGTAAAGTTTCTCACTAATTTCATCAGTATCATCTGGTGGTCTGTAACAAATTCCCACTAAAAGCCTTTTCCCATTATATCCACCAATAGAAACCCAAGTGGATTCAATCTACTTGCTATTATCTTTAAAATAGTACCAGTTTCTCAAAGTTTTTCTTGTGAAATTACGAGCATTTTTATTAGTTCTATTGAACATTTTCGTAAAAATTTGTGTTAATTGTCAGTAGTTGAAATTAAGACACCTGATAATCTACTTGATAAATTATATCAAAATAAGTGCTTTTTTTATTTATTTTTTTGTGATTGATAACAGATGATTAAAATTGTCTAATTAGCCAATAGCAAACCATCATAACCTTAAAAACTACCAAAATCTTAACACAGTGTATGTGAAGAAAGTAACTGGTTAAGTTGATTAATTTTGTTCTTTTTAACGTAAAAAATGGTCTTAGGCTGTGTTAATTATAACATGTATATTTGTTTTGTTTTATAGACAGTCCAGTTTGTTCAAGGTATATTTGTGGAAAAGTATGATCCTACTATTGAAGACAGCTACAGAAAGGTAAATGAAAACTTTTGTGATAGTAATAAAGTCTTCTACATTTTTATTAGTGTTAAATTGTTACTTTCAAAGTGATAGCAGATAGTATAGGGTGTCTCCAAAGTTAGCTGTCATTGGCTTAATGTCAATACATGTTTTAAAAAATATGCTTAAAAAGTTTGATCTCAAAATTGATATAGTAGTAAATATGTTCTGTCCAGATCACATCCACACGTTCATCAATGCTCAGTGCCATTATCTAAACTAATCTTCAAATAAACAAGAATAGTGTTAACTTCCTCATCCTCAATGTTTAGGACACCCTGTAAGAGCCTTATGAAGTCATTTCAAGTAAACATTTACGTATAACTTTGGTTGTATATTTATCTATTCCAGTACTGTGAATAGAGTAATTTGTATAGTTAGTACTTGAAACTGTCAGTACTTGGTGAGACAAATACAGAATGGAAAAAAATATAGATAATTATACAATTCTGAAATATTTCATTTATAATGCCAGTTAAGGCATCATCAGAGTAATTTATGTGTACCATCCATTAGATGTTCTTGGCTAGCTTTCCACAATCATACACGTAAGTTGTGATTTGTGTCTCAGTAGTTGTACACTCATTTTTGGATACTTTAATATTTTGTTTTAGACATTTTACCATTACAAAAATATATCTCAATGAACATTTGGACTAATCGCGTATTGAGACATACCACAGTCCAAAAAAATGGGTCTTAACTTTTCTACTGATTTTTCGAGGTTGAATTTTAGTGAAGCTGAGGGTGAAATACTCCAAAATATGTATTTGTGATTCGTATAAATACATTCTTCTAGTCACTTCCTTCATTTTTGAAAAATAACAATTTTTTATGAAGTACAAAGAAGTGTACTATTTCATTGATTTGTTTATTCATTGTTTACCTTAAATAAAACAAAATCAATTTAACCTTTTCACTGCTCTGAGCATCATATGAGGTTTTATTTTTTCCTCCCATCATCTGAAATCCCAGCTGATACTTGATTGTACCAGTAACACACAGATGTCACTCACAACACATGTACATGGTGGGGGGGGGGTGTATATAGTGTAAATATTAGGCATTTATACAGTAGTTTTAGTGACTTACATTGGAGTGCTAAGTGGAATGTTGGTACAATATAGTCATGTTATTCATGACTAACAGTGTGCCAGTGTGTGAAATAAGAGCCTACACAGAGGTCCTTAAATGCATGTTTGTTTGTAATTAAGCACAAAGCTACACAATGGGCTATCTGTGCTCTGCCCACCACGGATGATTGAAAATCGGATTCTGCCGTTGTAAGTCCGCAGACATACCGCTGTGCCACTGGGGGGCCCTTAAATGCCATTAGGTGTTTATTCTTTATTTTTGTATGCTATACTCTGATTTCACAAAGTAAAAAAAAAAAAAATTTACTGTGCATGGGATGGGGGATTTTCCATCCTCCCTGAGCATTGGAAGGATTAGATAGAATTAGCCAAGAACAGCCTCTCATGCACTTCTAAGAAGTTTTGAATTAAAAATTTAATAAAGGGTTGTTACATATTGAAATCATTAAAAAATTGTAATTAACTAGAAGAAATACACTCAGACTATATGGAATAATAACATTTTTTTTCTTATAATAACAGTTAATCACTTATTGGGTAAGATTCTATACACATATGCTTTTGGTAACAAAATTGGTTGTAGATGTTTCATAAAAACAAATCAGAAATCACATGGAAACTATGGTTAAGAAATTAAATTTCAAGTACTAATTCTTATTTATAACCAGTTATTTTCTTCAGTATTTCCCATCACCACAGTATTTTTCATTTTTTAAAATGAAAGTTGCAGAAATTCAGTGGGTGGGGCTAAATCAATTTTCATTTCTGAGGGATAACAAGGGGCCATTTGATCCATCTCAGTTTATACTCCATACACCCTACTCCAAACTACATATAGAAACCTTTTTTTCTTAAATCCCATCCTATTTTTAAAATATTTTTCTAATCCCTAAAGTCCTTCTCTGATGTATCTTCTACCACATCAGAAGACATAGCATTCTATAAACTGATCACCCTATTAGAAAAAAAATATGGCCTTGACCGAAGCCATGTCTAAGTTTTGCATATGTTAAGCTCCGGTAACATATCTATTGAACAATGAAGTCACTCATATTTTTCTTAAGTAAATGATGTCTTCACAAATATTGTGTGTTTCTTAATTGAATAAACTAGTGACAACATAAACAGTAAGCTTCATATGATATCAAATGAAAACTTTTTCCAGCAAGAAAAAAAAAATTAACTTTGTATGTGTGTGTGTGTGTAAATATACACGTTTTGTTTTGTTTCTTGTTTTTAGCAAGTAGAAGTAGATGGGCAACAATGTATGCTGGAGATCTTGGATACAGCAGGAACTGTAAGTTGAAGTTTTTTCTTTGTTTGTTTATGAATATATGCTTTACCCTCATTTTGTTTATTATTAAATGTATCTCTCCTGTGATTTAGCAGGAACAGTAAATTTATTCAGTACTCACATATCAGCTCAAAACTAAAATAATACAAAACCCTATAACCGAAGACCTTTCAAAAGGTGGACCTATCTTCAAGGACAAATAATTTACCACATATGAAGAAAGGCAGCAGGGTTATAAGGTTTTGTATTTTTGTTGTAAATTGATGGTTTGAAACTACTTGTTTTTCTAAGGTGTTGTTTTCCAATATTTCCACCCTCCAACTGTGGTAAATCTTTAGCTTGGCTCATATTGCTCTAGTTAGTTTTAAGTAAAAATTGTTTTAGTAGAGCCGATAAAGCATATTAATGTCTATTTCTAAATTAGCTAAGTGTTTTATTTTGGCCATGTGTAATAAATCAACAACTGTTGTTTCTCCTATGGCATCAGAACTTCTAACACGGGCAATCATCTTTCACTTTTAATAAATTACTATGTATATCTATGATGTGTATAGAATAATGTTGCATAATATTATTGTCTGTAATTTTATGACATTAATATTGTGTATACAAAATGTGTGAAACCATGCATTTTATATGGGATAAATATTGTGTGCATGGTATTTAACATTTATTCCTATGTCCTGTTGGTCATAGTTAGTAGGTTATGGTGATATAAATCTTGTAATAAAAATATGCATATAGAATCCTCTGAAAGTATCCTTACAGTAACAAACATGGTATTAGAAAAACATGTAGGTTCAACAAGTCTTAATATGAAATGATAAAAAACTATAACATGAGCACTTTTTTCTTCAGGGGTAAACTGGGAATGGTGGTGTAACTGAATGAGTGATATATAAAGGGAGTTGAGTGACATCATGAAGGACACCTGGGCTTCTGAAATGGTCTTACCTAACACTGCACCAGTCTTTTATACCCCATTAATTTTGTGCCATTTCAGAACGTGTTGATCATGTGACTACCCTCCACCAATCATATTGCACCATCTACACTAGACAGCTAGCTCCCTCTACTATTCTTGAACAATCCTCAATTTCTCGATTGGCATTCTAGTGGATAGACGTGTTTAACTCTCTCTCCATGTGACTACAAAATTTTGATTGTGCTTGATCACAAATTTATATCAGTTTCAACTTCAAGTCAGACTTTGTTTCAGAAAACAGAAATATTTCTAAAACAAATGAGTAGAATTTTAGTTTGTTCATATGAATTTGAGATTTAATGTGGTGGATGATGAAATTCCCACAACATTAGACAATGGTTCTGACATGAGTCCCTACATCTGAGGGTTGATGATCTCTGCTGGCTCGATTACTTTTATTATAACAAAGTCAAACATTTGAATACTCCAGAAATTATCTTTATTATAATACAGTCGTGAACATAGAAATTTCAGAAATCATTCATAACAACAAAGGTTGAAAAACAGTGATTCACTAAAATCAATAAAATTACACTTGTATTGAAGCTACAAGGTTCAAATTAGTGCTGTTTTGTTTCTCCTAGGAGCTGTGAATGCCATGTTATGCTAAAAAAAAATGATGAACCTCGCACTCTTAAAATTAATCGAAAATCAAAATTTGCAATTTTTAACAATATATAAAATCAAAACTTTTTTCTTGAATACGTTTCAGTTCTTAAATTTTTTTAAATGTATAAAAGGGCTACTACTACTACTAATGTATTTTCTGTAATTTTTATAAATCAAATGGTATAATTTTACTTTCTGGGCAGGATGTACCTATCTGAATACTGTAGTTAAAGTTAATATATTTTTTTCCTGTTTCAATTCAAGTTATTATTTAAAAGGTAGTTTTACTGAACTAATGACAGTTGAATATAGAGGCGTACCATGTACATTGGATAGATATTATTGTGCTCGACAAAGATCAAGAGTTCTTACGTGTACAAGAAGTAGTAACAGTTGTATAGGGAGGTTATTATTTTCCACTGTTGTATAAAGAAAATTGTTGGAAGTATTACAAAGTCGTGATATGTTGAGCAATTCTAAAATGAATAACTGCGACACTCCCTGACCGTTGTTTGAGTGCTGTATCAGAAGCTGGAGAAAATGTTCTTTCTCTTGGACGTAGCCGGGCTTCAGTTACTATGGTATGATTGACCCGGCTTCACTCGTGGAGTTGAGTAAAATTATAAATGTGAAGGATTAAATGCATGGAGTATATGCATTTATGTTGAAGAAAGTTAGTTACATTCTGTATTGACTGTGTTAATTATATGATTTATATTGAGTGAATTACTGTATTTTGGAGAACAAATATTTTTCACACAATATTCTTATTGTATGAAAAGTGGTAAAAATTGTAAATACTAATCAAAAATTGTATTTTATTTTGGTTAAAAATAAATTATGTTTATTACAAAATAAAGAAAAAGTCATGTTTGCTAGATGTCCACATCCTGTCTGTGTGTGTGAATGACATGTATGACTTCTCATGCAACTGGAATAGTTCTACTTTTTATTATCCATATTTAAGGTAACCTTGCTAAAGTGAGTCTGCCCAGTGGCCAGACTTTGAAAGGGAAGAACGATTATGAAGATAACAAATCAAAGGTGACCAGTTCTTAAAAGCAGAAATATAATTAACGAAAGTTAGAGATAATGAATATAGTTTTAAATCTATGATGTGATAATGCTTAGGCTTGTGCTGAAGTATGGAAAATGTATTTAGGGAAAGTGCTGTGTGGGTTATACTTTTTATTCTATTATGCAGTACCGTGTTGTGTAGGGTAATTAGTTTAAAGTTTATCACTGTTGTGTAGACTAAAAGCTAGATACTTTTACCTAGAGGATCTTGGAATGCTTAGTGGTTATAACATTATGTTGCATATTAAAAGTTTCTCTTGAAACAATAAACACCATTCAATTATAACAATACTTACGTCTTTGTAATCTAAACTAGTATCAGTATAGTTTTTCAGAACAGTGTGTGCGTGAAAAGTAAATCAAATTATATACAATTTAGTAAGTTTGTACAAAGTTTCATGCAGTTTGTCATGTATACTATGAGAAACTAGAAATTCAAGGGATGCGAATGACATCCCACCAGTCTGGAAAGGGTTAGTAATATGAAATGTATATAGTATACTTCGTGAGCTTTATATTTAACTAAAAGAATTACTTTTCACCATAGTCATAAAATACATAAACTCAGTAGCTAAAGATTTTAAACATATATTAGAATCAAATATTTTATTAAAGTGGACATTATTAAATGTATGTTACTGCTTATTACAGGAACAATTTACAGCCATGAGAGACCTCTATATGAAGAATGGGCAAGGATTTGTTCTGGTTTACTCTATCACAGCACAGTCAACTTTCAATGATTTGCAAGATTTACGTGAACAGATCCTACGTGTGAAAGACACAGACGATGTATGACTTTTTTATCATCATGTTATCTTATATTAAGATTTTAATGTAAATAATTTGTGTAGCAGTTACTGAACTTGATTTAAATAGGTGCATTAGCTTATTAAAGAATATCTTTTCTAAACAGGGACCAGCAGTACCAATAGTTTTGATGTTGCTTTTTTTAGATAAATAACACTAAAGTGAAAACTTTTCTTCATTTAGAAAATTTGCAAGTTTTGTAAACAAAGTGCCGTATCACTTTATTGAAGTGATTAAACAGTTTTATTTTTCATGGGATCTGTTTGTTCTTCAACATTACAATATATAAAGTGAATATTATTACAAAGCATTACTGTAATATGTAAGAATGTGATAGAGGTATTTTAAATTTTAAGAGTTTTGGAGAACTTTGAATTTATTACTCTGTTCACAACTTTCACCCCTGAATGAAAAGTTGAGATGTATTTTTCCTTTACGTAATGAACATTTATTTTGGTTTGGGGTCACAAAAAATATATTTAACTAAAGCAAAGATAATTGCGTATACTATGACGGTAATTTCTATTTCAGGTTCCCATGATTCTGGTTGGTAACAAGTGTGATCTGGAGGATGAGCGGGTTGTTGGTAAAGACCAGGGAGCCAACCTGGCTCGCTCCTTCAACAACTGTGCATTTCTGGAGTCTTCTGCTAAGGCAAAAATCAATGTAAATGAGGTAGGATAACTGGTATGTTTTATGAAAATTATTTATCAAAAATGGAAAGTGAGCTTGTATCAGATAAACATAAAAAATTACAGTGAAATAAATTTTATATATATGATATTAATTATTCCAGAGATAAGAACCCCAACTATATGTACTAAAGGCTCACTAAAAACTTACAAAATGTTATATTTTTATCTATTTGGAGAGTGATCATTACAATCATAACGTTTTTCAGATTTTCTATGACCTTGTGAGGCAGATTAATAGAAAAAATCCAGAGAAAAAATCAAACCCGGTTAAGAAAAACAAATGTATCATTTTGTAGGTAAGTTATGTAAGAAGTGCATTGTATAATGAGTAGGTATCGTCAAACATTCTTAGCATCAGTTATACTGCATGACTAGAAGCTAGAATCATTCATCCCAGTATATATTTACATATTGTAAAATAAGTTTGAATAAAAAGTATAAACTTTCTTTAGTACATCAGGACTATTTTTCTCCATTCGTAATTTGGAAAATTTAAATTATAGGCAGTGTTATTAATCTTCTAAAGTAAATTGTGTAATAGAAGATGTAACCAAGTTGAATTATTAAAAGACATAGCCCAGTTGTATTAATAAAAGACATAGCCCAGTTGTATTATTAGAAGACATAACCAAGTTGTATTAATAAAAGTCATAACCAAGTTGTATTAATAAAAGACATAACCAAGTTGTATTAATAAAAGACATAGCCCAATTGTATTAATAAAAGACATAACCAAGTTGTATTAATAAAAGACATAGCCCAGTTGTATTATTAGAAGACATAACCAAGTTGTATTATTAGAAGACATAACCAAGTTGTATTATTAG